AAAAATCAAACTGAAAGTGGAAAAAAATAATTACCATTAAAATTTATTATATATTAACAATTTCAAGTTAGTATTTTGTATCTTAAAATTGGAAACAATGATATGAATGAGCCACTATATCCGGAAATCTAGAATTTAAAATGCAACATCATTGTTTACAGTAAACAGGTTCTCTATATTCATTTAAAATGCACTGGCATTAATTTCATAAACTTACATATTCTAAATTACAGTACATGGTACAGTACATTTTTTAAAATAGCTGTATCATATGTAGCTAGTAACCTTTCCTAGCACATCTCAGAATTATGAAGTGGCTTGTTCTAATTTAGTCAATACATAATTTGGGTTTAATGAAGCTATTTTCAAATTATGCATAATTTCAGTATCTGTCCAAAAGGCTAGTTTTAGTTTTAAAATCTGTATCCCTGAAGCATCTGTAAACCCAAAGGAAGTTGTCATATACAGCATTATATTCAATACAGAATACTAGGACTTTCCACTACCATTAAGCCAACATTGGAAATAATTTGCTGGTATGCAGGGCACATCTGGATCTACTACATTCAAATAATTAAATTTACTAAGAAACAATATACATTAAGAAAAAATCATATCACTGCGCACCAAACATTTACATGGATTGAGCAATAATTCTGTATTTTATAAATCTCTATTGATAGGTCCTAAGTTTAAAAATTAACAGAAAATCTGTACAAAAGTACACAACTGCGCACTGCAACTTTCAAACGGAATTTTATCTATTTAAAATTGCATATTGTGTTACATTTAACTCACCTATGTTTCTACAGAACTCTTCATAAATGTAATTGCCTTAACTGAGACATATTGTTTCTCCCATTTAACAATTCTACCAAAGAAATCATGGCACTAGGGAAATCATTAGGATTCAGTTTCTTTAATGCAGGATTGAAAAGGGGAATAAATGCCTTATATAAAATAAAATACATATTTCCAGAATGCTTACATAAACTTGGCAAATTATCTTGTGAATTAAATGGACCAATTTATAACAAAAATATAGGCAATGGGAGAACATTTCAAGGGAAAAAAAGCTTAGGAAATCATAGACTTCATTGACTGCAGTGTAAATAAATATTATTCGCAGTGAGGAAAGTTTCAGTAACAGAATGAAAGATGACACAATCATGATGAAACATTAAACATGTGTAACTCTTGTATGCTGTTCTTAAATATATTTTCACTGGAATTTCTGGGTTGTTACATATTAACTTACTTAGAACTGTTTTATGATAGATTTTAAAATTTAAAATTATATTTATAATCAAAAGGCCTCAAATTCAACTACATACCACTTAATTTAGTATTAGCTTTTTTGGGAATTATTAAAAATGGCTGCCTATAGCTTGTTGTAGTCATTTACACTGTAGAATCCACATACTGTAGAAGTACTGAAAAATCTAGAACATTTTGGAAACTCGAATATCAATATTTCATTTAAAACAGAATGAATTCCAGTTTAACATATTAGAAATAGCCTGAAAATAGACTACATGAACTCATACATGGAGATGCAGCAGATCTGTTATAACGTTGTACCAATTACTTGTTTAGAAATTGGGCTGTTGGACCAACTAGAAAAATTATATGCCACAAAATGTCCTTTTGATTGTATTAGTCTTTGTCAAATGTATATATTAGATTATCCTCAAGGTAATAAAACTTTTCTTTTGTATATTATGACCTTTAATTATGATTCATTCATGATAAAAACTCAGGGGTATTTTTTATTTTCAGACTAATTTTAAACTATTTATAGTGAGAAATGCTAGCTGAGAGAACACACAATAGCCACAGGACAAATCACAATTCTTAGACGGGAGGGAATTTTTATTATACTTTGTTTATTGACCACTAGTTATCAGTGCAGGGGAGTGTAGAAATGAAAGATTAGGCTAAACAAATATGCAAAGAATACATACTACAGTTCAAAAGGATACTTCTGGAGTATTTTATAGAAAATAAATGTTCAGCACACACACTACTTCAAGTAGTGAGTAGAGAGAAATTTGTAAAAGTAATATAGCAGTCTCTTGCTAACTGATTTTTCCTGAAAAGAATAACTAAGATGCCCAATTAAGACAAAGGATGTTCTTTTTTTATTGTGTAAGAATACCACACTCATAAAGCTATGAATATATATATTTTTCTATCTTCAGTTGCCAAGAAAGATTTGGATCGTTCACCAGAACTTAGTATTTAGTTTACAGATACTAATAACACAAGGACACAAGAAAAAAGAAATCAACAAGTTTCATTATTTCAAAAATGAAAAGGTTTTAGCTTTAAAATATGCTTTCAATAAGATGTAATAGATAGAATTATAGCTTCTTCAAACTCAGGGAAACACTTCCTCTGCTTCCTATAGGCTACTGTAAACCAATAGAAATTGCTTCATTTTTAAAAAATCTTTGCTACCAGGTATATTTATCCATCTACCGAAACAATTATAGATTAATTATGTTAAACTATGAAAATCTTTATTTTATTATTTTCCTTTTTCCTTACCTTTGAATGTAAAAAGGTACACTTTATAACAGAATATTTTTGTTCTTCAAATGTACATTCATTCATATATAAGCATTTAGAAAAACAAAAACTATCTGATTTTTTCAATAAATATACCAGGACATTAAAAAGCTTGTATTTCTGTTCTTTTTTTATGCCAAGCTTGAAATATGCTAACCAAATATTGTTAATTTAGTGTAAATACCAATAATACTAAGTGAAAATTGAAGAATTGGTACATTTGGTATTTTCCTTTCTTCCTGCTTGCTCACAGAAGTATCATATTGCTAGAACGTTTAACTTTTTTTATATGTAAACTTCCAAAAAAAAATCCAAAGACCTCTTGAGTAAAACTGTTATTCTATCCTGTATAACAAGTTATTTACAGGAGCTACTGGATGACAGCATACTATATGTGTTCTTCATAACATCCAATTGTATAAAATTTTTGTAATATTTTGAGGGGAAGAATGATCACTAGTCCAAACAACTAAAAATCAAAATAAGATTGTGAATATGCTTGCCTTATATTTAATTTCTTACATCTTAAATATAAAGCAAGTACACTGATTTTGATATTAATGTTTAAAACCATCTTAATCTTTTTCCAGAAAGAAAGAATTGGCGCCCCTTAGCGTTCACCTCTTAAAACATTTAAATCATTCACTTATTTGCATAGGACATTTTTTCAACATTCCAGAAAGTTTTCAACATTTGCAGTTCTTCCACCCAGCAGCCAAAGCAAACAGAAGAAAGCAGGATTTAAAGGGGCTATTAAAAAAACAGGAGCAGAGTAGCACAGGAAAAACTGTATATAATTTGGGACAAGCAGTTTGACTTTTGAATTAGATTTTCCAGTCCTTACTTTGGACTTATGAAAAAAAAAACTGACAGCTCAAAGCCTTCCAAAGATGCAAGAGCATTCAAAAGATGCAGTGACTTCATACATTCTTGAAATAATCACACCAAAAATATCCTCTTTTGTTCTTCTTACAAATCATTATGGCAATATTCCCAAGGTGATGGTTCCAGAAATTTTTAAAGCCATTGTTAGGATTGTGATAAAGTATAGTTACTTTTAAAAGGAACTGAAAGAACAGATTCATACTAAAGTATCCCCATAAAAATCCCCAGAAACTTTTTTACTTGACATCCAGAGTATGTTATACAATCTTACCTAAACTAGAATTAGCCAAATACAAACCCTAATCAATTGATATTCCACAGGCACTTACTTCAAACGAACCCAAAAGTGTTTCCAATTAATATATGTTGCATTCCAATTAGAACCATGTATGCTTCCCCAATAGTAAGATTAAGTCATCCCAAACGGTAACTGAAAAGCAGTATCAGTCTGTTTCACAAATAAATGATGAAACTGATATTCACCAAGTTTCTCTATCTTCCTAAAATATGGAAGTTTCAAGATGTGAACTTTTAGGATTGGACTCTGGCTGAAATTTTACACTGAACATACAGGATATGTTCAAAACCTTTATTTAAAAATATAATTACTTTTTTACTCAAACCAAATAAAAATAATTTGTTTAAAAATTGCAACAGTTGAAGCTACTTATTTTGCGGAAACCTAAATCTGCAGACACTTAGATCTGCAAAGTTACTCACGTACCCCAACCTTGCACCTTCTTGTAACTCTAACTACAGAAAGGAGATCGAGATTACGCACACGGCCTAAAACTACCAACGGGTATTCAGCGACGCCAAAAACAATTTTCGCGTTTGCTTTTGATATTTAAATCGAGAATCACCCAGTATGTCCTTCGCGGTAGAAGTTAATAAAGTTCGGAAAATTTATTCGAAGACTTAACCGAGTTTTGTCTTTTTAGGGCCGACAATCAGCCCAGTATTGCATAAAAGAACTGAGCTCTCAAGTTTCGCCTGTTTTTTTCATGTCCCTCCGCCCAATCTCAAAACAAAAACCGGCCATGTACAGTTTAGGCTGCAAGAGTAAGCTGCTTAAAAGTATTTCATAAAACATGCCATCGGGCCTACTTTGTCTTTCATACTTTCAACGCAGATTTAGCAACTCAAAACGCTATAAACTCATTAAAAAAAAACTTTCTCCTCTCCCAAATTATTTTCTAAATGTCGCTATTGGGTTTACCAATTAAAAAGTACCTACGCAGAAAATAAGGCAAAGCACAGAGTTTATTGCTCCGTGTCCCGAAAGGCCAAAACTTGTGTAGAGACTTCCCGCTTCTCTTTGTTTATGGGCAAAAGAGGCAAAGCCAAAAGACGCCATTGACGGGGCGCAAAGCGTAGTCCGCCCCCATTTGCAGGATAGGAATGGGAAGGGCAAAGCGGGTCTATGTCGCGGAGAGGCCCAAAGTGTCGGGGCAGGGGGGCACCATTTTTTCCTCACACCCTCAGCCCTGCAAACTAGAGTTACTTTAGGGATTTCGTTTTAGTTTTCTGCAATTGCTTTTTACCTTCGTCCAGCAGCCTCTCGAGGTGGTTGAATATCCCGCAGAAGTTGGGGAGGCTGCTCATGAGCTTCTTGTCGTTCATCAGCTGCATCAGGTAATCGGGGCTCGGCTTGGGCTTCTCCTTCGTTTCCATTTCCCCAACCATATTCCAAACGCAGAGAGCGAGCGAGCGAGCGCCCGCACCAGCACTCACCCAACCACCGCACTGGGTGCCCGCCAGGCGGGGAAGAAACGGGGTGTGTTATGTGGGCTGAGGGGGGGAGAGGCCTCTTCCCCCCCTAGGAAAACGAGGGAGCGGAAAAAGGGGGTCTCGTCAACGAAGAAGCCGCCAGCACACAGCGGCGGATCTCGGGCGACGGAGGAAAATAAAAGGGGGGAACTCGATGACCGCCACCCCAAACCCTCCTCGGCCGCCGCCACCACGGAGGGTAGTGCCCTAGTCTTCTTCCACCCCGACTGTACAGTGATCCTCCTTCGCCACCGCCGCTTCCTGTCGCCGCTCCCACTGGATGCCTTTCTCCAAAGCGGCGCAGTCTTCGATAGTTCCCCCTCCTCTTCCTCGCCACACACGCAGACGTTGGTCGCGGTTCCCTTTCCTCGGTGCTGCTGCCCCCTGGTCTGTCTCCGCGGCGGGGAGGGAGGCGGGGAGGCAGGCAAAGGGGCGGCGGACTTGGCCGTTTCCCGAGGAGTCCCCGCTGCTGCCGCCGCGTATTGTAAGGCTCTTCCCGGCCACCGGCGGTGCTTCCGTTGTTGTTGTTCCCGCTGCTGCTGCTGCTGCTGGTGGTGGCAGTGCCGCCTCGTCTCCCGCGCCGCCTTGCCTCCCTCCCCTCCCGCTTCTGCCGCTTG